GCCCTGCTAGCCGCGCCCGCGGTCGCGATGGCCCTCGGGAGCTGCCGCGCGCTGGGTAAGGAGACCTGGAGAGGGCAGGGGGATGTGACATTGGCTCGTTCCGTGGGGGAGTGTGTGTCCCCGCGGGCACCGGGTGCCCGCCCGGGGCTGACTCACCTGTGCTGATCGCGGTGGGGGTTCGCGCGCCCCCTGTTGCGTCTAGCACCTTTGGCTGCGGGCTCCTGTCTGTCTGGGCAGTTGCCTAAAGTCTGAGTACAGGACTGTGTGTTTTCCCGAAACCTGACTCTGGCGTCTGGTTCCCAGTGTCCCCGTGTGTCTTACTCAACTGCATCCCGGGTCACTCCGAAGGGAGGCACCCAGATGGCGCGCCCTAGCGGAGTAGTAGCCCCCTCTGGAGAGTCCTCTGTACCACCGGCTCCGTCCGCTTTAGCTGTGGCACCCACCTCGCTTGGCTCTCCCCAGTTCCACTGCGTGTCATGTCGTGCGTGGTGACAGTGACCTGATTGTGAAGGGTCTGACATCATGGGCTCTGAGTCACGGGTGCTCCCGCCTCACATACTTAGTCTTTTAGCCAGTACTAGCCCTGGCACGCAGAGTGCCTACACCCACCCCAACCCCAGTCCTGTGAGTCTGACAGCAAGGGATGTGGGACCTTTTGGAACTGTGCCCCCACCTCCACCCCCGCCCCATCCCCATCCCTTTCCGATAAGTGGGTGGACCAGGCACGGGGTAGGGGCACTGTGCTACTGCGCTCGCCCTCAGCTGCACTCCGCCTCGAGGGTCTAGGCCTCTCTGTGGCCTCTGGCTTCAAGCCCAGCAGCCTGCCTGGTGTCTTCTGGAGGAACTGGGCAACTGCTTCTGTACTTGTTATTTTAGGGGCTGAGGACTTCTGCGGGGCCATGGAGAGAGTCAAGGGGTGCTAGGGAGATTTCCACTCACTGTGCTGGTTGTGGAGTCAGTGGCTGGAAAACATCTCTCTCTCTCTCTCTCTCTCTCTCTCTCTCTCTCTCTCTCTCTCTCTTTCTCTCTCTCCCTCTCCCTGGCAGAATTCCACATGCTCGGCTTGGTACCCCTGCATGTATTTTCTTTTTCTTTCTTTTTTTTAGGCAGGGTCTCACATAACCCAGACTGGCCTCAAACTTGTGCCTCTCCTGCCTCATCTCCTGAGTGCTGGGATTTCAGGCATGAACCAC